TCTCTGAGTATTCCTTCACTGGGGATTAAATTTTAACATGAGTTTTGGAGGGTTCAAATATTCATGGCAATATAGTCTTTGGATTGCCCAGAATTCTAAACAACACTTCAGGCGAAGTGAGTAAGCATCAATTTAACAATAAGAATTTCACTTACGAGAATTGGGTATTAGCCCTTAACATTTGTTGAAGGAAGCATTCAGCTGCTAAGAGTACATACATACATTTTAAAATCACTGAACTATGTGATCTCTTGTAAGTTAAGTATTTTATAATTTTGTGACTCTAGAAGTTCTCAGGCCACTTAGTTGATCTGTCCTTGGATGATAATACATGTTCTTATCTACTCCACTGGACACCTGCTAAGATGGTTGCAGTAACATCTCCACATTGCTTAGAGGTCTTTAGCAGTGACACTGAATGCATCCACTGAATTTCAATTTACTTTCTACATCACATCCTGCATGGGGAATACCTCCTCTATTTAGAAAGTTAATATCTGTAATTATGAGCACTTATGAATTCAGAGGCAGGTGTCAGTATGAAAGAAATCCATACTGTGAGCATATATTCATTTGAAATGTGCGGTCCTGTAACTGTGGTATCACTGTTTCCTGTCTTTATTCAAATAACAAGTACATTGAGCCCTTATTATATGTCAGGCATTATTGTAGGCACTTTTCATACCTCCCCTGTAATCCTTATAAAACCAGTGCAAAGTTGGTACTAGTATTATTCCTGTTGAATGAACAAAAAAGGAGATGGAGGCTTAGTAACTGATTCGAATCCATGAAGCTAAAAATTGTGTGACAGGACTGGAATGTGAATGCAGAACTTTCTGACCACAAAACTAGTCCTATTCCTCTTCACCACGTCTCAGTCCCACTCCCCATACCTCATTCTGTCCTCTTGTGACCAAGGACCTTAGCTGAGATGTCTGGCTTTAGTAGGCAGAAAAGGAATATGCTTGTCTGGGTGGGGCTGGACTCTCCAGGTCTTGCAGACAGCTCAGATTCTCGTCCTTGACTGCACATGGAGATAACTCAGGGAGTGCTTGAAAATATGAATGTCTTGGTTCAGCCTGGGCATTAGACTTTTTGAAAAATTCTCAAACAATTCTAATAATGCAACCAGGATTAAAAACTACCCACCTAGAGGAACCACAACTAAGTGTCTCCAAGATGTGTGGAGCCACATCTAGCCCTGACTATTTCATAACATTGCTTACAATACTTCTGGCAGAATGCTCTCACTTTACTTTTTTTTTTTTCCTTGAGAAACTAATCATGTTTCAACAACCAGACCCAGTGGGCAAAAAGGAAGTAATTAAGGGGAAGCAAAAAGTGTGCAAACATTCAGACCAATATGGTGAGAACATCTTGGCTCATGTTCATTAATTGCCTCTCAAGATTTCTTAGCCCATCTCTTCCACATCCTGACAGCTTCTACCTGAAGAATCCTCATTTCTTAATTCTGAGGCTCCCCCATCTACCCCAGTGCTTTTTAGTCCTCTCACTGTTAGAGGAGATAACCCAGACACTCCAGTTTTGGGGGATACCCTGGGAAATAACCGTGGAGGAGGGAATGAGGCCAGTACTCCGGTTTCAAGTTTTATTTTTTATATCCCCTAATCAAAGACAAGTCTCCCAAGGATGTGCAGTGGGCTGCAGAGCCAGCAGGGGTCACATGCGGCTTTCACAGGAGGGAGAAGTGTGTTTATTTATCTAGCTAAGACCAGTTGGCTGTCCTCACTTTATCCTACAAAACTGGTTGAATTTTAGGGTGCATGAAAAAGACCCAGAAAATCACAACAACTAAATAGGCTATGTTTATGTGACTCAAATGGGCTCAAATTCTTTCAAATTTTATCCTGTTTATTATCAGAAAAACCGATTGTGACCTATTTCCCTTTAAGCTTTCTCTACCTTGCTTAAGTGACCAATACCTAAATATTTTTTAATTGTCTGGTTCACATTTATTTTATACCACAAACTAAATTACAAGCTTCTAGAGAACAGAATTTTTCACTGGATGAGAATGTCAGCAGCTGTGGCAGCAGCCTCTTCATCTTCATAGCATTAGTTGTATAGAACTTAAACTTTTGCTGGACACTATTCTGACATTAACCATATAGGAAGTGACATGCTTTACACTTGACAACACTATGAGGAAAGTTACTACATTTTCCTTATTTTACATATTAGAAAAGTGATGCCTAGAAACATTAATGATTTCATTTACTATAGGGCAGTTGGTTAATAACTGGGGGGATACTGTAATGATCCCAAGAGTCTAGCCTCTATTCTTTACTACCTTCTGGTATATTGGTAAAAAGCAAAGAAGTTTTAGTTATTGTCAACACAGGATACATGGTTTATATTTATTTACTGTAGTCAAGAATTATATAGCACAGAAAGGTCATTGCTAAGGTTTCACAACAGTCTAAAGAAAGTACCATTCCTTAAAAAATGCATTTGCAACATATGTGATATCTATAGATGAAAATGAAATATTAATGGTACATGTTCAAATATTAGCTGTGGTCATTTGGGACAGTAGGATTTTTTTATTTGTGTTATTTTAAGGGTTTTTTGGTTTGTTTGTTTTTCTTTTTTTGGAGACAGGGTCTCATTCTATTGCCCTAGGTAGAGTACCATGGCATCACCACAGCTCATAGCGACCTCAAACTCTTGGGCTCAAGTGATCTTTCTGCCTCAGCCTCTAGAGTAGTTGGGGATATTTCACACCATGACACTTGGCTAGTTATTCTATTTTTAGTAGAGATGGGGTATGCCTCTTGGCTCAGGCTGGTCTCAAACTCCTGACCTCAAGGAATCCACCAGCCTCAGCCTCTCAGAGTGCTAGATTACAGCCATGAGCCACAAGATCCTGGCCTGTTTTGAGTTTTTAAAAAATATTTGCTACATTGAATTTTAAATGTTATTAGACAATATATGGCTATACATTGTATTTGTTATCCAAAAGTACAGAGGCAATTCATAAGAGTTTCAGGTATAATTTTCCAATACCCTTTCCCATGATGTAAGCCTACAAGAGTCAAAACAATGTAGAAAGCCAAATACAAAAAATTAGCTTCCTGGAGCTCCCACCCTCCCTCAGTAACAGTCTAGCTACAGGTCTGGCCTAGGTGAGAGGATTGGCCAAAATTCTGAATCATGTTGATAAGCTTTGACATTTACAAGAACTAGAAATTTTAATTATTCTTCTGATTTAAGTGATGGGGAATTATTTTTATTACATAATTGTGATGAGTCAAGGGCACTGCTAAGTTTTTACCTAGGAACAGTGGAAGAGAACTACCCCTGAACGTACTTAAAAAAAAAATGGCAAAAAGTACATTTATACTTGTATGATCAACCCAGTCCCACACAGTTCTGCCTTTCATTCAATGTTTACTGTCTTTTTACATATGTACATATTTATGCAGAGAGAGAGAGAGAGAAGGGAAAAGGAAACAAAGATGAAAAACCTATTTTCTGATTTAAAGATATTTGGCATAAAGTTTAATGACTGGCTTCTATCTGTGGCATTTTTTGAAGAGCTTTCTAACATGTTTTAGCTACTCTTCTACAATTTTTAGATATGAGGCTAACTGGTGCTTCTTCTGATTTTGACAACATGAGGCCTTGGAAGGATTCGGCGTTACACATTTACATATATAAAAATTTTATGGAAGGATGGACAATGTTCTCAGTTAGCTTTGTTGTCACCAAAAAAAGCTCTTCAAGTAGGGAGTTGACCATTTCAACTTGACCTTTAAAGATGGACAGACAGGTGGTATAGCCGGGTAGTCTTGTGCAAAAACTTGAGAGTTGGAAAAGCCTAGATGCAAATTCGGTTTTGAGATCTTATTAGTTGATGGACCCAGGATGATCTTTTCAAGCTAAATCGTGAAATAATGATTATTATTATTTAATTCACATTCTATTTTACCTTTTATTAAACAATTACTTTAGTGATATATAATTCTATAACTTATAATATGTAGTACTATTGATTGTAGATTTATAATAATAACACAGATGTTTGCCTCAGCATTTATGAGTATTAAAGCATATAACTCTATGGATATGCCAAGCATAGTGCCTGTGTATTAGCAAGTTTTCAAAGAATGGTGGCAGCTGCTACCATTATCAGAAACTGGCCAGACCCTAAACTAGGGGGATGATCTCCTGGGCAGACGGGAGGTATGTTTAGAACATGTTGATTGTGCCGTACAGAACCCCAGGATGGGAAAGCCATTTGGAGACTGACAGATAGACTTGAAACCCATCGATGAAAGCAAGAGTGTCAGACTGTGGCATCTTCTTCTGGACCCCTCAAGCCTTTCCTTTGGTTTCACTTGCATCCTAGCCCCTGGAATGACCCCCTGATGGCACATTATAAAGCTTTCAAGAGCAGGTCAGAGCAGGCATGGGGAAATGGAATGACCACACTAACAAGTAATAAGTGGTCCCCATCCAGCCTTTTACAAGGGAATTAATCTTTTATTAAGAGAGAAAATTATGCCCAAATGCTTCAGGGGCTTTTTACTCACAGTTACATGTGCCATGGGAAGCTCAAACTCCTCATGAGGGCCTCTGTCAAAAGCAATCTTCTAACATCTCCTTTGGAAGCTGAACCTCTACAGTGGTAGTATCATTGTTTTTATAATTTTTTTTCTTTTCTGTGCCATGTGAATGAGGAATTTGAGCATAAAATATGCTATTGAATGTTTACTAAGTCACCTATTTCTATGCAGGCTTCTAGGAGAAATTCAAAGTTGTGTGGGTGATCCTGTAAAGCAGAGGGGGCAAGCTTAAGAAAGAATTTGGGAGTTGAAGTCTGCTAGTGCTCCTTTGAAAAACTGGAGCCCTGTACAAGGTCAGACAATTAAGTTCACAAACTCATCCTAGAAAAAATGCTATCCTACATCATTGCTGAATATCACCACGACCACCTTTGAGATACTCCCAGCGCTATCTCAGTACTCACTCATGCCATGGCCTCCATCTCAGAGCTCACCTATGTTTACTCAGCCCTCATTTTGCATGATAATGAGGTGACCCTCACAGAGGATAAGATAAATGCCCTCATTAAAGCAACTGGTATAAATGTTGAACCTTTTTGGCCTGGCTTGTTTGCAAAGGCCCTGGCCAATGTCCACATTGGTAGCCTCATCTGCAATGTAGGGGCTGGTGGACCTGCTCCAGCAGCTGGTGCTGCACCAGCAGGAGGTCTTGCCCCCTCCACTGCTGCTACCCTGACTGAGGAGAAGAAAGTGGAAGCAAAGAAACAAAAATTTGAGTAATCTGATGATGACATGGGCTTTGATATTTTTGACTAAATCTTTTTTGTAATGTGTTCAATAAAAAGTTGAATTCAGCTGTCAAAAAAAAAAAAAAAAAAAAAAGAGACACTCCCCTTGGGAAACTATGCACTGATGCCTGAACCTAGTCTACTCTTCAAAGCAATTTTGAAACTTTTTCTGGAATGACCATCTGGAATGAGTGATGTTGTCATGTGAGGTTGAACAATTATGTTTGCAAACTCATCCTAGAAAAATTGCTTTGATGGGTAGACTAGGCTCTGGTGATGGTGTATAGCTTTCCAAAGATAGTACATCAAAGGTAACCTTAGTGATATTCAGCAATGAGGATGTAGCATTTTCTCTAGGATGAGTTTACAAACTTCACTATCTGACTATGTGAGGAGTCAGATGAGGAGAGGAAGGGGAGTTTGAGCCCTTTTTGAAGATGCTGGACTTTAAATACATCCAGCTGGTATGAGTTGAGAGCCTGTCTTATGCAGAGCTGCAAGAGGTCTGGACTTTGCCCTTGGAGCTCTCCTAACCTGGTGGAGGTGAAAAGACTCCTACAGGGGAATTTCAAACAAAAAGCAAGGTGCCTCCAGGGGCTGAGGCAGAGTGCTAAGGGGGAGGAGGCATGCTGATTTCCAGAAGGTGAGGTGAGCGGGGAGGCTGGACATGTAGGGGTCTGAAAGGACATTGCATGAAGAGAGGCAAGAGGAGCCTGATGCAGGTGGCAGGAGAGACCATGAGGTGGGGGGGGGTGGTTAAGAGATTTTCCTCTGCAGATGCTGAGTTTCCTTTTCAGTGGTGGAGAGCTTATAAATGGGAACAAATCTTCTGGTCCTCTGGGGAATTCTAACTATAAAAACTTGGTAGGGGTCTGCGCCTGTGGCTCAGTGAGTAGGGCGCGGGCCCCATATACCGAGGGTGGCAGGTTCAAACCCAGCCCTGGCCAAACCACAACAAAAAAATAGCCGGGTATTGTGGTGAGCGCCTGTAGTTCTAGCTACTCAGGAGGCCTGAGGCAAGAGAATCACCTAGGCCCAGGAGTTGGAGGTTGCTGTGAACTGTGAGATGCTGCCATGGCACTCTATGGAGGGCAATAAAGTGAGACTTTGTCTCTAAAAACAAACAAACAAACAAACAAACAACAAAACCCTGGGTAGTAGAATTAAATGTTAGCTAGAGTATCATTCTAGTAATTGAACGTAGAACACAGGACCATGTGGTAGGACGAGCTCAGGAGATGAACAGATAGAGACTAAATATTTAATGCTGCCCTTTCTTAGTGGGCTGACAATGGGCATGATTTTTTAATTCCTTGCGCAAAGCAGCTAATTGTAGCTTTCTTGCAGGTGGCAAGATTTCAATGAGATAGTCCCTATAAGCACTTTGTACGTTATCTGGCACATGGCATATATGCAAAAGATTTGACTGTTTTATTATTATTATTGCCCGGCCATTTCCTCTTCTTCCTAAGATAAAGTACCTACACAATAAAAATGTAGCTGATACATTAACATTGAAAATAATATCCTTGATCTCATTTGCAACCCTGGTTTCCAGGTCATCAGCCATTACAAGTGACTTTTTGGAGATGTCTCAAAGTTGGGGAAGAAGAGGAGTGGAGGCTTTGTTGGAGTTGAGGAGTCCCACGTGGCAAGTACCCTCATTCTGAGGGATCCTGAGGGAGAGAATTGCATAAGTGGGGGCATTTAGAGGGAAGGGAGGTTTTGCACAGCAGTTTTGCACATTTTATGTGTGGGCAGAACTTTTCAATGGCAAAGCCATTTCCGATAAAAGAAAAAAGAAGGCAGAGAAGGAAAGATTGGGGGTAATATAAAGAAGAAAGAAGCAAAGGAGAGAAAAAAGGAAGGAAAGAGAGAAAGTGAAGGGAAGAGAGGATGGAAGAGGGAGGGAATGTGGTTAGGAGAAGGGGAAAGGAGAAGGAGAAAGGATGGAATGAAGAAAAGAAAAAAATCAGCTCTGGCCTACTAGGGGACTGAGATTGTAACAAATGACTCCACCTACCTTTCCCTCAGAAACATTCAAGCCAAGAATAAATGCCTGTGAGGGATTCCTGGTGACTGAGTTAATTCATGGCATTTGAAATCCCTCTAACTCCATCTTTTTATGACACTTTGGGCTTTGAATAATGTAGATGACCAGAAAATGCAAATATGTAGAATGATACCTTTGTTGTTGTTTTACTACAGTCATAGCTTTCAAGTCCGAAAAAGCAAAACTAAATTGTTTTCCAAAGTCATTACATCTATAAAATGTGACATATCATTACTGCATGTCCAAAGCTGGCAGATACACTGTTTTATTCTTTCAAGTTTTTGTAAATACACAACATTTATGATCTAGTTTCACTGCAGTCCAGCATTATTGAACATTCAGAAGTCATTTCTTTATCCAAAATAGCAACCAAATGAGATTTTTCACTTAGGGCAACTTAATGATATATCATTTGCCCATGAATCCTTATGTGCTAGTGGAATTTAAGAAAAAATGTCCCGTTTCCTAAAGAGTGTGGGCCTTTTTAAGAAAAGCATATATGAAGAATGTCACCCCTCCTTTTGTAGAATTTGACTTCTCCTCCCTTAAAAGAGTAGCTTTCACTCCCAACCAGGGTTCAGGTCTTGCATATCTTATTAATTTTGCCATTGAAATGTACAGGGTGTCTCAAAAGTCACTATACATAGAAAAATTATAACAACAGATATCTTGGACCATGTTTACCATGAGTGGGAGAGAGAACCTTGTGTGTGTGCAGAAAGAGATGGTCAAGATGTAAAGAATATTTGGTGAAGATTTTGTAAATATTTTATGACGTTTTGTAATGAATATTTTGCATATCAATGTACATTTGGCTATGGACATACTATATTAGCATTATAACTGGGGCATTTCTTACATTATTGTCCTTCATTTAAATTGCATTTTCCAACTTACTCTAACCCTGAGGACAAACATGCATTACTAACCCTCTGGAAAGGGTTTCCCCAGAGAAGCATAGCTCAGCTTCCTGTACAAACAGGAGGTTTGAACACCTGCTGGGTTTAGATCAGTGCTTCTCAACCTTCCTAATGCCAGGACGTATTTTCATTGTTACAAAGGGGTTGCAACCCACGGGTTGAGAAATGCTGGTTTAGATTCTGTTATTGATCATGCAGATCTGAGGACATTTATAGGCACCGATGTTTACTATTTTGTTATGTATCTGGGGTGATGTTTTATTTATCCTTGGATGCAACAGCTAAGATTTGAATAAGCAACCACCTCCACAGCTTTGTAGAGGCTCCGTACTCTAGAATAGAAAGGTTTTCCATGGGCATGGTTTATTCTGTTATCAATCAGCACATTTTCTTATAAGTATGCCTTTTTCTTTAAAAATATTATACAATAAGAAATCATAAATGTTGTACAACTTTGATTTAAAGATAAGGTGGGTGGAAAGCTAAGGCATGCCATAGCAGAGCTCTCTGTACAAAGGGAAGGCATATCTGATTTCGCTATGAGTTATGAAAATTCATGAGGTGAAGAATTTCTACTAGATGTTTATTTAAGGGAACTACATGGTGGCTAATTTCAAGTCAATAAAAAAGTGTGTTGTCATTTTATGGACCTTGCAAATGGGCAAATGACCTTTAATATGAGGAATGAACTCTAGCTATGTTGGCTTAAATATGGGGAGCAGTGAGTCAGACAGGTTATTGATCTGTAAAATGAGGCTGATCAGAGCTTATAGTAGAAGCTTTTAGACATCCTCAAGCCCATTCTCCTTACTTTTAAAGAAAAGAAAATTGAGGCTTAGGAGAAATGCTTGTGAAATGCCTTGCTGGCAGATCAGGACCTAGAACCTGGGCCTTCTTAGACACTACTCAGTCTGCTTGGCCCACCTGATCTAGGGGAACTTTCCTACAGCTTTGGGATGTGCCCAGGACCCCCACAGGTTCAACCTGAGTTAGCCGGGGTGGCTCACCTGACCATTAGAACAGGTGATGTGGAACCATGCATGAGGGCTGACCTTTACCATAGAGGGTATGCTGCTCAATCTTGATTTAATCCGGTTGGGGGACAATGCTGGGTTAGTTCTGGAATGCCCTCTGGCCTTGATGCTGTGAGTGCCTACCAGGGTCCAGGGTATACTTAATGAATGTATGTGGAATGGCTGTATGCTTGACCATCTTGCTATACTCTTTTGCAATAATGATCTTAATAAGTCAGTGCTTTTATTATACATGTATTCCATGCCAATATTAGTCTTCATAATACCTCATTCCCTGTAGGGTCAAGTTCAAATGCCCATCTTCCACTTAAAGCAATTACAAGTGCTCATGGGAAAGCAAAACTCAGTGGAAAGCAACTAGCAGGGAGTGGGGAGGAACAAGTCAAACTGATGGGTACTATGAACACTCACTGGGTAATGGACACACCTCTAGGCAGGACTCAAGCACCACAAAAGTGAGCCATGTAACCTAAAACATTTGTGTCCCCTTAACATTTTGAAATAAAAAAAAAAATTGTTACATTCCTTTGCCCCTTATTTATCTTAATTTGAACAATCTTTGTGCCCTATATTAAAATCTTGCTTCTTATATGTAACCTTCTTTGATGAGCCTAAACTTATTTGCCTCTCTCTGAAGTCAGATTATACATAGTCCACAATCAAGGTGGCCAGCACATGCCATGGAGTTCACACTTCTAGGAACCATTCTCATGCAATAAGACCTGAGAATGGGTAGCACAAATTCTGGGTGCATGTCTCAGAAACTCAGTAAGGAGGTTTGAGTTCCACTTGCCCAAAGTGGAGACCTGCTATATAAGAGCTTTTACTAAAAATAGTTCACAATTTTTTTTTTTTTTTGAGATGGAAACTCAAGCTATGGCTGTAGGTAGAGTGCTGTGGCTTCATAGCCCATAGCAACCTCTAACTCGGGCTCCAGCAATCCTCTTACCTCAGTTTTTCTATTTTAGTAGAGATGGGGTCTCAC